GGAAAAAAAAGTGCAAAACAGTTAAAAGATTTATATGGAGAGAAATGCTAGGAAACACAATTCTGCGGATAAGGTAAGTAACGCACTGCAACAAAGTACTGCTGAATTTTTTTCATTTATATTTGCTGTTAAATTTCAGTTAGAACAGTTAAAAATCGGTGGTGGATCGACTATTAAAATAACTGACAAAACTAATGAAATTTTGATATCCTCTTTAAAAAGTCATTTTATTCCCGACCCTCAACCCTTCGACTCGTCATCCGTGTTATATGTTGCCGACACTGGTAAGGCTTTTCTTGTGTAATAGTACATTACATAACATTTGTTTTGCTATTTGAGATGAAAACGTCGCATCACTGGACGTTGCTACTACTTCCAGTACTTTGATAGTACCTGAAGGTGACAGCAACCTACCGGAAACTGAACCATTGCTATCGCAAAAAGTTCAAGAAAAAATGGAAACGCCGCTACCAAAACGAAGAAGAATTTCCTCAAAAAATACAAAAAATAGATCTTTCCTGGATCTTTTAAAAATCTTACAAGAACGAAATGAGTTGCGAAAGAACAGGGAAGATGATAAAACTCTTGAATTGAAAAAGAAAATTTTAATGGAGGAATTTGAGCAGGCGAAACTTAAAACGTTAATTTTGAAGGCTCAATTAGAGAGAGAACAATTGGAGTTAGAAAAAATAAAAAATCAATTAAAAAAATAAATGTTTATTTATGTTAATAATTGTTATTTATATTAATAAATGTTAATTTATATTTGAAATAAATTTAATGAAAATGTTCAGTTATAAAGGTCCTTCTAACTGCATTTCTAATCCGCCTTGTTGTGGTGCTACTGCAATTTGGTTAGGCACATCATCTATATTTCCGCCAATTTCTTCTTCAAATGTGGCAACATTTTTAATACAGATATTGTGTAAAACTACACATGCAGAAATCGCAAGTAATATTGTGCTAGGTGTTAACCGCATTCCCATAGACAGGCAAGGAAATCTTTTTTTTAAAACTCCAAAACAACGCTCAACACAGTTTCGAGTACGAATGTGTGCACCTTTCTTCAGCCCGTGATTGAGGATTTAATACATTTAGGGTTAGCATGTATAAACTTGCTGCATAACCACTATCTCCCAGTAGAAAACAATTAGGGAACGCATTGCTATCAAATTTATATTTTATAAGATACCCATTAAAAATTGTCATATCTTATATGTTATATCTTGCTACAACATCCATTATTTTGAGGTTACTATCACATATAACTTGGACATTATAGGAGAAGTAGCCTTTACTATATCGATATAATTCAGCGTTGTCTCCGGGAGATTGAATTTTGATATGGGTGCAATCAATACACCCAATAACGTGTGGAAAATTAGCAATATTTTGAAATTCTTCCTTTTTTTTGCTACATCCACGACGTTTTGGGGCATTTCAATATATTCGTTGATTAATGCTGCTGTATGATGCAGAACTTTTTTCAAGATACGACATGCGTGCTACGGTGTATGCGTATATCATCCGCAATTAAAATTTGAAAGGCTCCGATTGCCAAAAACCTTAATGATAGTAAAATCTGCAGCAGAAATACTTTTATTTCGGTTCGTCACTGGTTGAAGATTAACTCCAACCCTGTCTACTAAATTCATAACTTGCACCTTTGTCAACCGATACCGGTATAAAAACTCGTTGTCATCATATACTGCGGAACTGAATAGAATGCTTAAATTAAAAAAGCATTACCACAAATTGTACAGAAGGACCCATTGCAGTTATCATTACACAAGATATAGTCGCCTTTGCCGAGACTGTAAATCACGTATTCGGGATGATCGTCGTAAATATGTGGGGTCTTTGGAGAGAGATATAAAAGACAATCCTAAACATTTTTGGCACTTTGTTAACATGAGTAGAAACAACTTGAACTCCCCAAGTGTTCTGAAATGGAATGGTAAAACCATAACCGATTTACCTACTATAGTGAATTTATTTGCTGACCGTTTCGAAAGTATGTATAGTCGTACCTCATTCGCTGCCTCCAATAGTCACTATATCAATCCTGTTATGACTGGGGTTTCTTTTGGTATCTCTGAAATTAGCTATGGCGAAATGGTGGAAACCTTCAATAGATTTAAGGTAAAAAATACAACCGGGCCAGATGGCATTCCTGCATTTATAGTTAAAGACTGTGCACCTGCATTTCTGCGACCACTGCAACATATTTTCAATCTAATTGTAAGGAACTCTGAATTTCCGGAAACCTAGAAATTGAGCAGAATTTGTCCTGTTTTCAAAAAAGGTGATAGGTGCTGTGTTATGAACTACCGGCCAAGAGTTATTATAAATAACTTCGCGAAGCTGTTTGAACAAATCGTAGCATACAAGATGGAATTCTACACCAAAGCACGAATGTCTGAACATCAACATGGTTTCTGCAAAGGTAGATCCACAGCCACTAACCTGTTGAGTTTTACCGAATACGTATCTAGGGCACTAGATCGCCGTGGACAGGTGGATGTCATATACACGGATTTCTCACGGGCCTTCGATTGTTTAGACCTCTTCTTGTTGACGGAAAAGTTGGAGAAGTTTGGGTGTGAGGTGTGATTGTTCTCTTATACGGCTTCTGTCATCCTATGTGTCAAATCGAAGACAATACGTCGAGTTGGCTGGTGTTAAATCGAGAAAAATAAGCGTTACTAGTGGCGTACCTCAAGGATCCATACTTGGCCCTCTACTGTTCAATATTTTTGTGAATGACTTACCAATGAGCTTTAGCACGAATGCCCTATTGTACGCAGATGATCTGAAGTTGTTTACTACTATTGGTAGTGAACAGGATTGCATTACACTTCAGTTGGACTTAAATAAACTCTATTCGTGGTGTACTATTAATAGATTGATTCTGAATACTTCCAAATGTCAGGTAATGACATATAGCCAGAAACGTAACACCATCAATTTTGATTATGAACTTGGGACTGACTGCCTATCGCGCATTTCTGTGGTGAGGGATCTCGGTGTATGGTTCGACACTGATTTGTCTTTCAATGTACATGTTAACAAGACGTCGACGAACGCCCTCAGAACACTTGGATTTATAACGAGAAATAGTTTGGAATTTGCTCATATAAACACAATAATAAAACTCTACTTTACACTCGTAAGAAGCAAATTTGAATATTGCTGTATTGTTTGGTCACCATCTTATTTAAGGTATGTACATCACCACCATCGAGAGGGTACAACGTAAATTTGTTAGATTCATGCATTTCCTGGACTTTGGTCATTATCCGCCTCGAGGGGAATTGAACTATCCATATCTCTCACATCGTTATGGACTTCAGAGCCTTGAAGACAGAAGGAAGTGTATGTAAGCAAGATTTGTTCGGGATGTGATGTCGGGTGTGGTGGTTGCATCGGGTGTTTTGTCGCAATTGAATATAAAAGTTCCGAGGTTTGGTGCTCGTGACTTTAATGTTTTTACTACCAATCGCGGTCACACAAATATTGGACTAAATTCCCCATTCAACAAATTAATGCGAGCTGCTAATACGACCGAATGTGTGTCATTCTTCGATGTTTAACTTAGCAGTTTGCTAAATTGTTGTTATTTGATTTTTCATTGAATATGTTTTCTTTCTTTTTCTTTTTGTTTGTATATATTAGTAGTAACAATCAGTAACAATCAGTAACACATTTTTTTTTCCTCTTTGTAACTCGATCCGGGGATAGACTGTATACATAGAATAATGATGCAAAATAGTTTGATATGAAGTGGGTATATTTCCATCATGGTTATGTTCCACGTGGAATAATAGGATTGATATGTTGTATGCGCAAGCCGAATGACTCTCATTCTATCGGCAAACACTTAAATAATACTATTTTAATATTAAATTATTTTGCACGAATGTTCTATTCATATGTACAGGGTGGACAAATTTGGGTGTTATTATAGGCTATCTCAGAAACTACAAAAGATACGAAAAAAGTAGGTGCCATGTCCCGATCTCTTTTTTCAAGACTAACCCAATCCGGAAAACACCAAACCTCTATCTTCTTTTGTTTTTAAGTTATAGCCAAAAAATCTAATTTTCGTGATTTTAAAAAATGTTCATATTTCGTTTATTTTTGAAATTAGAGAAATGGGGTTGATACGTTCTTAAGACACTTTTTTAAGTAGAATATATTGCCGTTGAAAAGTTTTAAAAATATTTGATGATTTTTGAGATACAATACAAAGTTGTATTTTTTAAATGCAAACTATAGTAGATTATGATGTTAATGAAAAGAGCATATTTTTACCTTTCCAATGATGTATCGCATGTATGGTGTAATTGTGGAAAATAAATTTTCTTCACTCGTTCAAAACTTATAGCTCCGTCCCGGGAGTTTGGGGAAACCTGTATAATGTTTATTATGCATTTGGATTTTAATCATAACCTAACATAAATTTAATATTTATACATACCTGTTACCTGTTGCTGCGTTTATTACGTTGTTTAAATTCAAAGAAATTGTATAATAATTGTTACACAATTTCTTTGTTCAAATTCTATGACACCAAAACCGTTTTTTTATAATATGACGTTTAAGTGACAAATGCGGCGCGCAAGTATAGTGTAGCAAATACTTAATAGGTGGCACCAATCATCAATTAATTAAATTATAAAATATAATTTTGAAAATAAAAATTTTTAAACATTTTATACACTTGTTTTATTTTCTTATTTATTTAAACGTAAAGCAAGATTTAAAAATAATTTAAAATTTTGCGGTGTAAACCTGGTGTAAACTTTTAGTTCGAAAACTTTTTACTATCATGATTCATAGATGGCGCTAAAATTAATTTAATTCTTTTTTAATTAATTTTTACTTTTATTTCCTTTTAATTATTGAATTAAGTTAATCTAAAGTTTAAAAAATAATAAAATTATTAATATTTATTTTCAAAAAATCATTTCCCGGTTTTTACCGCGAAAAAAGTAAACATAACCTATCTTTTTTGTACACTTTAAACTCATTAAGGATGGATACTAATAAATATAACGAAGAATCTCTCCCGGATGTTTTACCGCTGTATTATAAGAGATTATTTCCTCATTTATCGTTTTTCCGATGGTTAAGTTACGGTGAGGTTCGTTAAAAGTGATAAAATCAAATTTAAAATTAAATTTTTAGGTTATAACAACTACATCGTTAATCGAGAAATTTCTTTCACCCTTTTTGGTGATATCTATTTGCGTTATTTATCGTTTGATAACCAAGAAGAGCTTATGAACGAGTTACAAAAGCGAAATCCCATTAAAATCGATATTGGAGCGGTTTATACGCAACCACCAAAGTTCCGGAAAAGATTCAACGTTTATATCCCAAAAGAGCGCGAATTGGTCTTTGATATTGATATGACCGATTACGACGATATCAGAACTTGTTGTAAAGGGGCTAACGTTTGTTTAAAATGTTGGAAATTAATGACAATTGCTTGTAAAATAATCGATACGGCTTTAAGAGAAGATTTTGGGTTCAAACATTTATTGTGGATCTTCTCAGGAAGGCGAGGGATACATTGTTGGGTTTGTGATAAATCAGCGAGGGTTTTAAGCGATACAAATCGTGCCTCAATCGCCGAATACCTCCAATTAATCAAAGGGGGCGAATACGTAGCCAAAAAAGTGCACCTTTTCGGAGACAAAATCCACACCTCAATTAAACGATCCCTAAAAATAATCAATCAATATTTCGAAAACATAATTAAAGAACAAAACATCCTCGGAACGGAAGAAAACGTAAAAAAATTTTTATTAATAATTGATAAAGAAATCAGAGGAAGTTTCGAAGAAGCAATAATGAAAGAAAACACCTCTGAAGAAAGATGGAAAGCTTTTAGTGATCATTTCGATACTTTATTTCAACGCCAACAGCTCCCAAAGAATCTTAAAAACTTAAAAGAAGAAATTATCCTTCATTATACTTACCCGCGACTTGATATTAACGTTACAAAGGGGATGAATCATTTATTAAAAGCCCCGTTTTCCGTGCATCCAAAAACGGGGAAAATTTCGATTCCGTTTAATCCAAAATTGGCGGATAAATTCAATCCGGATCTTGTACCAACCATCGACACCCTTGTTGATGAAATTAATGAGTACGATGCAAAAACTAACGAACAAAAAAATGAAATGGGGGATGACCCCATAAAAACGACCTCGGTGATAAAAGATTATAAAAAAACTAGTTTGTTGAAACCGATTAATCTCTTTGGTGAATTTATTCGTGGGATGGAACTTGATTTGAATAAAAATAATGAAACGGTAGAGTTTTAAATGTATTTGTTGAGGAGTGCGCTTTAAGTTAATTAAAATAAAAAGGACAGGGGAAACTTAAAATGTAACAAGAACTTTTTATTGTTTAATAACAACTCTTACTTTGCACCAATACAATCAATATGCGGACACTGATACACAATCTCTTACAAAAACACTATTTCAACACCCTCCCTCAATTTGAACCTTGTTACAAAAAAATAAAAATCGGTTTAGTAAATACGTCGGCTAATTGTTTACCACTATCAATATTCTCAACTTCAATTAACTCTGTTTTGATTTTATCTGTTATAAAATGATATTTAATACTTCCTCTGTCCGATAATAGTTGCTACATTTCAGTTTAATGTAAAAATTATTGTAAATATGAAATGTACAAGCGATTTATCTAGATACATAAGGTAGACAATATAACAATCAAAGTGTGCCAAGACCATTGATTATACATATATCAGATATGCCAACTAATCAGTTTATCATCATCATCTTCAAAAGATTACGGATAGATGTCGTAGCAGTTACAATAAACCCTGATCGAGGTCGATGACCTTGTTTGTTGTTGTCATACAAACCTATACATCATATGCCTACTAAACTCGCCGTCTATTAAGCACTATATGGCGGTAAAGTGAAATTAAACATTCCAAAATATGGATACCTACGTATATGCATACAAAATGCACTACAATAAATAATTACTTTTATTATGTAAAAGTCAAGTGTCTCAAATATGTTTGAAATCGTTAATAGTATATTATTCTACCGCGTCTTCAATAAAACTTCCAATTAGTAGGCCATGGTAATTTTCGTAGGTAGGTTGGTAATTATTGGGTAATTATAATTAATATTAATTCACACAGCACAATGGTGACTTCTTCGAGGAACGTTTGACATTACAGTAATATAAATTTTAAATTAATTTCTATAAAATTAAAAATAAATAAAAAAATATAAACAAAACCATACTTTTAAGTATAAAAAAAATCTACCTCGATATATCAGTTCAGTCAATGTCTTCGACAGAGTAGTATCGCGTTTTGCAGCGTGCTGAGTTTTCTCTTGCAAATTATTACTTTAAAGATGCGTTTCACCGACGAAAACCTTCGTGAACTTAAAGCTCTCTTTAATGAATCGGTCGAGGAGTTAATTAAAAGTGAAACATTTTTATCTAAAATCGTTAACGTGATTAAAGATCGCTTTAATGCGGAAATTGAAGATCTCAAGTCCCAAAATGTTAACCTCCAGCGTGAAAACCAGTTATTAGGTGAAAAACTTGACAACCTGGAGCAGTATTCTCGCCGAAACAACGTCCGAGTATTTGGTGTTACTGAGCAGGAGAATGAAAATGTTGACGTTAAAATTGTTTCGTTGTGTAAAGAGCAGTTGGGCTTGTCTATTTCTTGTACTGACATTGATCGTTGTCATCGTGTTGGACGTTTCTCGGGCAAGAACGGAAATCCTCGTCCTATTCTGGTTAAATTTGTTAGCTATAGATCTCGAGCGGCAGTTTGTAAATCCAGGGGTAAATTAAAAGGAACTAAAATCGGCATTCAGGAAGATCTTACATCACGTAATCATAATCTCCTGAAGCAAGCATGGGCGAAGTTCGGGAAGAGAAACTGTTGGTCTTCTGATGGTCGAATATTTGCTAAGAGTGATGGCTCTACTATACTAATTAAACAGTTTTCGGATCTTAATATCTCGTCCAAAAGTCGATTGTCGTTGGTCGGTGGGGATATAACAGGTTAATTATATCTTATAGAATAGAGTTGTTTTATTGTTTTTTTTTTCTATCTCGCACGTTTGCACGTTTTTTATGATTGTAGGAAACGTTATTGAGTAACTTAATCAATTTATTTAATTAATTGTTTTTATTAATTAATTTTAGTTTAATTTTTGCTTTTACTTTTATTGTCATAATATTTTTTCTTGTTTTCTTTTATTAATTTTATTATTGTTTTTGCTTATCAAAATCAAATCAAATTTGTTTATTTTTGTTGGTATTTAAAAAAAAAAGGGAGAAAAAAAAAAAAAAATTCTTTTTATTTCTTTTGTGGATAGTTGTCATTTTGTATATTGTCACAAGCTTTTATTGTTTGTTATTTTGTGGTTATTATTTGAATTGGTTCCGTATTATAATGTCGAACTCCTTTCGCGTAGAACATTTGAATGTGAGATCGGTGCTGGCACACTTTGATGAACTTAGGGATTATTTGTTGCTTTCTAGATGTGATGTGCTTGGTATCTCAGAGACTTGGTTGAATGGAAGGATTGATGATCGACTACTACATGTGGACGGCTATAACTTCTATAGAGTTGATAGACAATCTAGAGGTGGTGGAGTTGGTTTTTTTATAAGAGATTGTTATTCCTGTAAAATAATTCACGTTCAGCCGATACAGGGAGCTGAGCAGCTTTGGGTTGAGTTGGTCTTGGGAGGGATGCATATAGCTTTTGGTGTTTGTTATAGACCTCCAAATTGTGATCTGAAGCTATTTCTTGAAGGACTTGAAAGGTCACTTTCTGTTGTATATCCCTCAGTTGATGAGATAGTTGTTGTTGGAGATTTTAATGTTAACTTTTTGGTTGAGAGTCCATCCACTATATCTCTTAAGAGTACCCTTGAGGTGTTTGCCTTGCGTGAGGTTGTTGACGTGCCTTCTAGGATATCTAGCTCCTCCGTCTCTCTTATTGACCTGATCTTTGTATCTGGTGCCCTGATGGTTTCTGATTGTAATACGCTTGATCTTGGTTTCTCTGACCATCTGTTGATTTTTTGTGAACTGACAATTCAAAGAATTAGGGCTAGATCCAGGTTTGTTACTTTTCGCAATTTGCGTAATATTATCATGGACAATTTTAATAGAGACTTAGATATTATGAATTGGGAGGCTTTATATGTTCTCCCCTCTATTGATGAAAAGGTCGACTATTTTAATGAGGTTTTAATCTCTTTATTTGATGTTCATGCACCACTCATTACTGGAACTGTTAAGAAGGACTCTTTGCCGTGGTTTACTAGCAACATCAGGGAGATGATAGGACTTAGAGAGGCTGCCTTGAGGCGTTACAAGAGAACAGGAAATCCTGTACATTTTCAATACTACAAACAGCTGCGTAACTTTGTCACCGGTGCTATTCGTCGTGAAAAAAAGGCTTTTCTTGAACAGAACTGTGTGGTTGGGGGACCTCGTTCTATGTGGAGGACATTGAGAAAGTATAATGTTGTTAAGTCTAATATTACAGATTTACCTCCTCATCTGGCCGATCCGGACAATATTAATTTGTTTTTTTCTGAAGCTATTGGTGATGTTGTTGTTGAACCTGACGCTGATTTATTACATTTTTATGATAGATATAGATTAAATCCTGAAGGTACTACCTTTACTTTCAGTGACGTCTCTGTGGAATTTGTTGAGCGAATGTTACTTTCATTTAAGTCCACTAGTGTTGGTTCTGATGGAATTTCCCTGGATATGGTTAGGTTGTGCTGTCCTCGTATTTTGAATGTTCTTTGCCATATAATTAATTTCTGCTTGAAAGAGTCAGTTTACCCGAGTGCGTGGAAGTTTGGTTTGGTGACTCCTGTTCCTAAAGCCAATCCAGTTAAGGAGTTTAAAGATCTGAGGCCCATTACCATCCTCCCGGTTCTTTCCAAAGTGTTGGAGAGGATTATGGCGGAACAACTACAATCCTTTTTAAATTCTAATCATATTTTACCTCAGAAACAATCTGGCTTTAGGCGACAGTATAGCTGTGCCACGGCACTTCTTGATCTGACAGATGACGTTTTTAGAGCTCTGGATGGGGGAAGATCTACTGTACTTGTGCTTCTTGATTTCAGCAAGGCATTTGATATTTTGAATCATAACCTTTTGTTGGCTATTCTGAGGTTTATTGGTGTTTCTGATTGTGCTGTTTCCTTGTTTCGGAGCTATCTTTCTAACAGGATGCAATCGGTTAAGGTTAAATCCGTTTGTTCTGATCCTTCTACAATTGTAGCAGGTGTACCGCAAGGTTCTATTTTGGGTCCACTTTTATTTAGTATATTCACCAGCAATTTATTTTCAAAATTAACCTTATGTTCCTATCACTTATATGCGGATGATACACAGCTTTATTTCGACCTCATACCTGATGAGTTGCCTCATGCATGTGACAGAATTACTGAGGAATTGGGTCACTTATGTGTGGAGATACAAAGGCATGCTCTTGTGATCAATCCTGACAAGACCCAATGCATCTTATTTACTAAAAAGGGTAACTTATCTGTTAATAAAAATGACATTAACATTAGTATGCTAGGGGAGCAATTAAGAGTGGTGGACTCGGTCAAGAGTTTGGGTGTTGTCATTGATGATAGGCTTACTTTTGGTGATCACATTAGGTTGATATGTAGGCGCGCGTATGGGTCCCTTAGAAGCCTCTATTTTAGTAAAATGTTTTTGTCGATAAAGCTCAAACGCCTTCTCTGTGATGCTCTAGTTTTGTCTCACTTTAATTATTGTAACGTTGTATTTGGTCCATGTCTATCTTTTGAGAGTTTGCGAAGAATTCAGGTCGTGCAGAATTCGTGTCTTCGCTTTATTTATAAATTGAGGAGAGGTGATCACGTCTCACAAGCTCTTCAGAATTGTGGTTGGCTGAATATGCGACAGAGATTTGTTTTTCATTACTTGTCTTTTATTCATGGGATTATTATTTCTGGTAAACCTCCTTATCTTTCTCGCAAGATTACCTTCAGAACTGATGTACACAATTTGAATCTTAGGCATGGATTTTCTATTACAGTTCCGCTGCATAGATCGTCAAAATTTCAGTGCTCGTTTTCCTATCAAGTAGCTCGTTTTTGGAATGCGATTCCCAGTTCTGCGAGGTGTGCCCGCTCGGTTCAGTTGTTTAGATCTATTGTTTTGCGCGAGAGGGTGTTTGATCGGTTTTTGTGATAATTGATATAGTGTTGCTTTTGATTCTTTTGGTAATTTAATAATCCTAACTACTTGTTTTTATTTTTGTTTTTATTTTTATTATCTCATTTTCATTGATACTGCTCAGTTTTGATTTGATTTAACTTTTATTTTATTTTCTGCTGCTGTTCTCATTAGGTGCAAGTAAAATCAGTGGCATTGTTTTGCCTTTTCTGCCCTTGCACCCTTTGAGCTATAATTTAAGTTTAATATTATTGTACTTTTCCTTATTATTGTATTTTGTTTTTTCTAATTTGGCTCAATAAATTATTATTATTATTATTATATTATTATTATATACTTTGAATGTGAACATAAGTTTCTGGATTAAATAGGATACATAGAGTAAGGTATAATACAAATGAAGACGTTAGAGCAACAACGATACATGCCACACAACTAACTTTTTGAGAAAATCAACATTTTAATTTGTAATTAAATCGTGAAATAATAAGAAGATAAAAATTCTATAACATTTACTATTTGAAACTTGCTTATTTTCTTCGATGAAAACTGAAGATTTTTTTGAAAAACAGCGCTTTCAATGACAAAATTTAATTTATGTCAAAATAGTGTGGCTTAGACCCTTATTACACGAAAATGTATTCAAAAATGATAAGTCGAGAAGGTAGTAAAGGTAGCAAATTCATAATGGCAGCACTAAAGTCTGAAATAAGTGAAAATTTGAAATAAAAATAACTAGATAAGAACAAAAACACATTTAATTCATGAAATAGTAACAACAAACAAAAAATAACGCACAATAAACATTATTAAATTTTCTAATAAATTAAGATGAATTTTATTTTACTTTTCGTCGTCAATGTCGCTGAAGTTGTCTAAATGTTCTATGTCATCATCTATAGTCGGTGCACTATTTACATTATTATTTTCACCAACACCAATCTCCCTATAAAAATTTTGATAAATCGGAGGTATATACTTTAGAAGTGCGAAAAGATTGGATAGTTTCTTTTGGTTTAATTGAATGGGAGCATCATATTTTTTTTTTAAATCTTTTATTAACATATTTACAGATCTTCTTATACCTCTTTTACCTATATTTACTGTTTTATATTCTTCGTTCCAAATGTGTTTAAAGAACATTACATTTGGATTGTCTTGTACAAATTTAAAAGCACAGATTTTACTGAAATTCAGCTTATCCTTATTATCAGCCGCAGTTTTTTTTGTTATTTTCATCTGTAGGTCTTTAAAAGATAAAATGTCTTCTTGTTCAAGTATAATAACATTGAAAGGATTCTTCCTTTTTGCTTTTAAAACAGCTTGGTACCAGTCCTCAGGACAATATACTTGTTTTAAATAGTTGCGCTTGTATTTTTCTATAACTGCAAAATCACGATCAGATGGAAGATGCGTGTGACCGACTACTAAAAATCTGTGCTCTATGCTCTTAAAAAAATTTTCTCGTATTAGTTGTTGCCATAAACAAACAATGGTCCAATTTTTATTTTGACCTGCGCAATTATCGCTATATACAATAAGCTTTGTATACTGATCATTGCAATTTTTCTTAAAATGTTTGTATAAAATGCTAGCAATTTCATCGCTGCCTCGCTTGGCTACATTTTCAGGCCACATGTACATATATCCTCTATCCTCTATACAGTCATGTATTCCTAAGTTGTAAGTCCACGCTTTTCTTAGATAAAAAGCAGGTCCAACCGTTAAATTTGGTACTGGTAGAGCCTGCTGTAAATCGAAACTTAAGACGAGGGTATCTCGTGTGTTTTTAGCTTTTTCTATTTCTTCTTTGAGACTTGTTTGTAGCTCTTCTGCCCTACAATGATGTAGTTCAAGTTCAGTCTTAAAGGTGTCTGCTAATTCGCCTTTACTCAAAGCGTGTTTTATTTGTATGTTGAGAAAGTCACATGTTTTGCAAGTGTCGGTTTTAGGGAGTTTGAATCCAATATTGAACTCATTACAAAACACGTTTCTGTAGTAACTTTCTTTTACGGCATGTAAACCTTTGTCTTCACACCATTCAAGGTAATAATCATGGTACAGAGCAGAAATGGATAAGTCTTGATCTATGTACACCTTATCAGGATTTTTTTGTCTACTGTAGTGACTGGTGTATTTAGGAATTGAATTGATGTGTGCCTTCACATTATCACGATCAGCATCACTAATCTTATTTGCCCTGTTCTGGTGTTTACCACGTTGGTCACTTTTTGGGGTAGTAGCTCCTTTGCTAATTTGTTCATACAAAAGCTGAATTCTTTTTTTTGATTTTTGTAAGCCATGCACTGCAAGAAATTCTTGCTTGCACACCTTGACATCAACGCCATTAACTTTTACAAAGTATTGTATAGTAACTTTGCGTGACGATACTTCTTTTTTTGTTTTCTTAGGGTATAACCTTTTTTTCGGTACAGATTTCATTTGCGAAAAAAGGTAAATATTTTGTTTGTTGTAATCCGCTAAGTCCCAAAAAGTGTTGAAAATGTGCATCTCTTTTCCTTCTAAAGCATTTCGACATTTTCGGCGACAGTCGCACGAAGGTCCAAGTTCTCGTTCAGCTACTTGCTTTTGTCGTTTATTCACATATTTGTGACCCAAATTTCGTTTAATCTTTCTTTTATTTCTAACCTGCCTTGCAAAGTTTGCCTTGCGCTTTCTTGAAGGAATAGCTTTAGGTGGCGTGTGAAAAGAAATTCTTTTATTTAAAGAACGCGGACCTTCAAGATTAGTAAAACCATTTTCCTAAAAATAGTACTAAGTAGTTTCAGATATTTTCGAAGGCATAAAGGGATAAGTCACAATATTATTACTAAATTATTATTCTTAAAATTTCTTAAAATTATTACTAATATATTATGTATCTATAGGGTGATTCTCTATCGATGCGACAAACTTCAGCAGATGATTCTCTGTCGAAAATTAAGGCCAGTTTTTATTATGAACCATAAGCGCCTTCTGCTCCTCTGAGGACCTACGGTCCCCCAAAGAAAATTTGGTTTTTATTTTTTCTCGGAAACCATAAGCATCTAAGAATGATTTTTTTGTACCAGTTCAGCTTCTAGTAGGCCGCGTTTTGACCCATTTTCTGCTTTTGATCTGGTCCTCAAGTTACCAAACGTAACTACAACCGCCGAAGTTAAGTGAAGGTGGTAGTCAAGTTTGGTAACTTGAGGGCAAGATTAAAAGCTAAAAATGGCTCAAAACGTGGCCTATTAGGAGCTGAACTTCTACCCCAAATTTCATTCCTAAGGTACTTATGGTTTCCGAGCAAAAAATTAAAACCAAATTAGAGGGGCGTAGCTCCTCAGGGGTGCCGAAGGCGCATATGGTTCATAATAGAAACTGACATTAATTTTCGCCAGAGAATCATCTGCCGAAGTTTGTCGCATCGGTAGAGAATCACCCTGTATAATTTTTAAAGCATTTTGAACCAAAGAATAGGAAAATGTAACATTTTTGCATTATGAAAATATAACATCGTAATTTAAATATAAAAAAAAATAAAATAAAATAAGTCACATTAATTTAACTGAAGAAGGGAATAAGCCACATATTTTAAAACTTACCTGTCTATATTCGTCTGAAGAAGTTTCATTTGCACTATCGTCAGACCCAAGCTAAATACGGCTTGTACCCTTTTTACATTAAAAAAACTGTATTTTAAGTTTAATGTAAAAACGATTTTCTCTATTTACGAACCTGTCAACGTTTTTTTATCGGAAGTTTTTGTTTTTTAAGTAAAAGTCATAGCCTACTGATATAAA